ATTTACATTTGTGATTTTATTATGCAAGATAATTACATGGACTATAATTCTTAACAATTAGGATGAACATGTGTAGTTAAAAAAGAAAAAAAGAGGAATGATCACAATATAAAAATCATAGAAGGGCCGAAGTCTATAAATATAAGTTATAGGAAGGCAAATGTGAGAATGAACAACAACAATAAACTCAATAATATTTGCAACAACAAGAAAGCGCTTAAGAGTATTTTTGTAACTTTCAACATACTTAATACTTATGAAGCAATAGCTTATAGACAACAATTAAAATAGACTAATTGATTAGTAGATCGATATACTTGTATGCTAATAGTTTTGCTCTTTGGTTTTATTTTGTATCCGCAACTTGTGCTCGAAATTTTCAAGAATTGAACATCATACCTACGGAAAAAATTTCAGTTTGTAAACACTCTTTCTCATCAATAAACATAAGTGTTTTTTAAAAAAATAAAAAAATAAAAAATTTGTGTCCTTGTTTTTTAATTTGCAACCATATATTTTTTTTCTTTTGTTATAAAATTCTCTTAATTAGAGGTGTTCACTATTCGGTTAAAATCGAAATATCGAACCGAACCAAACCGAATTAACAATTTCGGTTCGTTTTTTTTAAAAAAATATAATAAAAAACCGAATCGAAAAACCAAAATTATTTTGGTTCGGTTCGATTTTTTAGAACCCATTCGGTTTCCACCGGAAACCCAAATTTTAAGCAAAATTAAATTTTAACTTACAAAAGTCAAAAGTAACAAAAGTAAAGTTGAAAAGAATCAGAATACTAAAAGTCTAAAACCCTAACTCCCGTCCATCTCCCACTCTCCCTAAGTTCTTAATCCTTCCCGACTCCCGAGTTCTCACTTGCTGCTTGGTTGGTCAGTTCTTCGCTTCTTGCTACTGGCTGAGTTGGTCGATTCTGCTTGCTTGCTTCCATCAAAGTTCAAACTTCATCCTTCTCTTTTAGACTTTCACAATCGGTGCTTCACGCCTTCACTGCTTCGGTGCTTCCAAACTTCTAGTTCCATCCAACAAAACTCAAAAGGTCAATTTTTTTTTTTTTTGTGGTTAAATGCTAGACTTTTGATTAATTTTATTTTTTTCTCGAATCATTTATAAATTTGTGTAATTAAAATGAAACCATTGGGTTGTTGATGGGTTTAATGCTTCGGTCCTGCAACTTCTTTTATTGTTGAAGTTCTATGATTCTATCTCTTTTTCATTTGAAACCTAATATGACTATATAAGAAGTTAGTAATTGACTATATAGTATTTGCTTTTAGGTTTTCATGAGTAAGACTTTTGATTTTTTTTTTCATTTGGGAATTGAGATTAGACGAGTAGGGTGGCCACTAGCCTACGGGCACGGAGCCGATGGGCCTGCGGCTCGCGGGTGGCCGGCGGGCACGAGCCGGCGAGCCTGCGGCCACCCGCGAGCCTGCGGCACGAGCTAATAGGCTTGTAGCTAGCCGGTTGACGGTGGACACTACCCACTTGTTTTAACTTTTAAAATTTAAATTTTTAATGCTATAAACTTGTATTTAATAATCATTTCTAATTAAATATATTCTTGAATTTGTGTCGATGTTAGGATCCTCGGATGCTGAAGTTGCGAGTTCAACTCATCCAAAACCGAGTCCAACAACGGATACGATTGTTGTTGGCTCTTCATCAAACACATAAATGAGCACAAAGATGAAGAGAAAAGCAATGAGGCCAAGGTCACTTGTATGGGACCATTTCACAAAGTTTGAAAATGAAAATAAAGACATCAAGAGGAGATGTAATTACCGTGATAAGGTACTTGCTCGCTCATCCTACTAGAAATGGTACTACCGCACTTAAATCTCATATGGCCATATGCAAAAAACACCCACATAGGCTTGACCTTACCCAATCGAATTGAACCTTCAATCTAATTCAAGTGTTCAAATAGGATAAAGCACTCTTAGCACATGGAAGTTTGATCAAACTTGCATTATAAATGCTTTAGCTTACATGATTATTGTGGATGAACTTCCTTTCAAATTTGTCGAGAATGTGGGGTTTAAGTGGTTTATGTCAATTGCACAATCTAGGTTTAAAATTCCATCACGGGTTACCATTTCAAGAGATTGCTATCAACTTTATATGTATGAGAAATTAAAGTTGAACCAATTTTTGAAAAATAATTATCAAAGAGTTTGTCTTACTACTGACACATGGACGTCTATTCAAAGAATTAGTTATATGTGTCTAACAACTCATTTTATTGACAATGATTGGAAGTTGCATAAAAAGATTCTAAATTTTTGTCCGGTTGATGGTCATAAGGGTATTAATTTGGGTAATGCTATTGAAAAGTGTTTGATTGATTGGGGAATTGAAAATTTTTTCACTATTACCGTAGACAATGCAAGTTCAAATGATGTGGCGATTAGATATTTGAGAGATGTTTTGAATAATTATGGTAATAGCATCTTAGATGGGGAATTACTTCATATGAGGTGTATGGCTCATATTTTGAATCTTGTTGTTTCGATGGGTTAAAAAATACAAATCCTTTGATCCTTCATGTTCGAGCAGTCTGTGAGGTATATTAGACAATCTCCCGCTAGGTTGAGAAAATTTAAGGAATGCATAGAGAATGAAAAGATTGATTCTAAAAGTTTGTTACATCTAGATGTTTCAACTAGATGGAATTCAACTTATTTGATGTTAGATTCAGCTCAAAAGTTTGAGAGAGCATTTAAGAGATATGAGCAAATTGATCATTTATATAGTATGGAACTTAATGTGGATCTTGGTGATGGGGCATTTGGGCTACCTAGTGTCGGAGATTGGAGGACTTGTAGAAAAATGGTGACAATATTGAAAAATTTCTATGACCTTACTTTGTCTATTTCGGGTCATTCATATGTCACTTCTAATAATTATTTTGATGAAATTTGTACGCTTAAAGCTGATTTGAGAGAATGACAAGAGTGTGCCGATGATGATACTTGTTCAATGGCTAGTAAAATGAGAGAAAAATTTGATAAGTATTGGGGGGATATGAAGAAAATGAATAAGTTGATTTATATTGGAGTTGTGCTTGATCCAACACATAAACTTACTTATGTTGCATTTACATTAAACGAATTGCATGGTGATTGCCTTGGAGAAAAGATGACAAATGATGTGAAAGAATGTACATATGCCTTGTATGCTTCATATTGCAATTTATCACCAAATCAAGGTCTTAGTGGTCAAAGTAATGGGATTACGAAGTTTCAAGTGTAAGTGATGGAATGGTCCGAATGGATACCAATCATGCCATAAAGAAAAAAACAAGACACTTGCGAGGATGTCACGATTTCAAAAATTCAATGAAAGTGAAGATGGAGATAAAAGATCGATTTGGATAAGTATCTTCGTGAATCCGTTGAAATTGGAGATGAAAATTTTAATATTTTGGAGTGGTGGAAAAACAATTCTCTTCGGTTTCCTATCCTTTCAAAAATGGCTCGTGATGTGTTAGGCTGTTCCAATATCTACTCGTTCCTTCGGAATCGGCATTTAGCACTTGGAGGAAGAGTTCTCGATGCCTTTAGGAGTTCTTTAACTCCTAGCATTGTGCAAGCTCTTGTATGTGCTCAAGATTGGCTTCGAAATTCGATGCTAATTACTATCGAAGAAGATTTGCAAGATGTTGAGAAACTTGAAGCTCGGTAAGTTTTTCAATTCTTATATTTTTATTTGTCTTTTTTCCTTCCAAATTAATATTAAAGACCTAAAGTGTTGATTTTTTTTTCGATTTATTAAAACTATCAACGGATGCACCTATGATAGATATATGATGAATGGTCGGAATGGATGGTGGTTTGATCTTTTGAGTGACATGGGTAAATTTCTAATGAATTATCTTTGTGTGTGTCCATGTATGTTTGTAAATGCCTTTATATTTATAGAATTGACATTTTCTTTTCTTTTCTTTGTAGAATTTGTCATTTAGTGAACCTTTTGTTTGAAGCCTTGAACTTGTCTATTTGTGAAATTGTGGTTGTGAGTTGTGACTTATTGGAGTTTTTTGAATTATTTTACTTGGCAAGTTATTAATGACTTAGTTTTGTATTGTTGGCTTCTTAAGTTCTTATTGTTGCTTTCTTATTGTTGGTTTGTTGCTTTTACTTTTATAAATTACTTATGTTACTTGGTAATTTGAGAATGTTGAATACTTGAATTATTGTTTTTAACTTTTTATTTTGTTGCATACTTGAAATTGAATTGTTGTTTGACATTTTTGCTTTTTCATTATTAAAGTGTAGAGAATAGTGTAGTATTGTAGTCTATTTAAAATTTGGATGGGGTCTATGTGTTATTATGGCTTGTCATTAAAAAAGTTGATCTTTGAATTAATGTTGAGATCATGAAATCGATGCAATTTTAATTAAGTTATCGATCGAATCAACATATGATATCGAGTATTAATTAAAGGTGAAAAACGAATTACCGAATAAAAAAATCGGTATATTTCAAAACCGAACCAAAAAACAAAATAATAATTCGATTCGGTTTCGGTTATTTTTTTAGACAATTCGGTTAATCGAAAAGCGGTAAAAAAATTCGAAACTGAACCGAATTACCGAACGAACACCCCTACTCTTAATTATGATAGACACAAAAGATCAGACAAAATAGAAATGACAATTTTACTCTCAAGCTACGGAAACTTCATACGCTAATTTTTATATTCAATCATGGAACAACGTATATTGGAGAAACAATTTCTCAAATTTAGAACCGTAGCAGTAAAGCGACGGAAGGGTCATTGCCCTGATGAAACCAGTAGTTCACAACCTACAAGGCAGCAAAACTTGGTGCACAGATTAGACGAGGCCCTAATTTGTCCCGTAAAATTTCTCAACTCCTCAAAAAACAGAGCGAGGTGGCATAGCTCCCCTTTGCAATACATACATGGGGTAGATACATAACCATATACGTAAGCTATACTGTGTATTTAAATACCAACGTCAACCTCCCAGGAAGGTGGACTGGATGTTTTGACCATGAGAATGCTCTTCCATGCCATGGCTGGAAGCTAGTAAATTGACCTGCGTAAGGATCTCAATAGTTTCAGCTACTACAGATGACCTTTAAGCTTTAACACTGTTGAATGACGTTGAGAACTAGTGGTTGAGAATTTACCTTGACGATTTCCCACTTAGAGCATGGACGCTTAGAGGCTGTTAACACACTCATATGGAAAGGCTGCATTTGGGAACACAGAAAATGTTTCACAACGGTATATTCTTAGTGCCACAGAAAACAAAGAAAATGTGTAAATCATGAACAAAACAAGGATATTCTGGGCTTTTGCTTCAGAAATTAAATGTATTATTGTTGCATATATGTACACTAGAAAGAAAACCGCACAAGAAATTTGAATGCAGACTTGTAGTCTACATTTCTTCCAATGATGACATATTTTAATCCTTTTGAATATCTAATACTGAAAGCAGAAGTTAATTATTGACCAACAAAATGAGAAAATACGAAGCACCATATTTTTCAGCAGAAAACTTACTCTGAAAGGATCACCCCTTAAGGACTGAACAAACAGAGAATTCCCTGACTCCACATCCTGCAAAGGGAAAAAGCACTAGCAATGTTGAATTCTCTGTCATTTGTCACAAATAAGATTTGTGCAGAGCATTAATGGAATCAGGTGAATGATCCAAAAAAATGAAATTTAAGAGATCTCGCATTGGGATACCTCTAAATAAATGTCCCTAAGTCGCCTTCCAGTTTGAGTACAGCAGATACGGACAACATGTTCATCACAACTCCCGCTAATGATGTAGTCATTTCCATTAATGTAGTAGGAGCGGGTATAGTTATGAGCACTTCCTGTTGAAGTTATCTCGAAATCCATGTGAAGCCTCCCATCTACTGCCAGAAGTTGCTTGACCTGACACCAGAAAGAACAAGTTCATTATTGTCCGATAGAGGGAGAAAAACTGCAGCCTGAAACCTAAAGCAGCATTTTGCATTTGATGATAGATTGGTGACATCTAAAGCCAGATGGGTCAAATGGAAAGGTCGCATTAGAAGATTTTATTGATGACCATGCTCATTTGAACAGACCCTTTTAAGAACCATGGAATCCATACTCACTCTGTTAGAATAATAAATCTTTTGCTAAATACTATACAGTACATTTTTACTATGCATCAAGTAGTATGTACAGATATTTTGGGAGCTAATCTGATATAAAATTTGATATGTATGAAGTCTGATTTATTGCAGGAGATACGATTTTGTACAAGTTGCATGTACAAGTTGGAAGTGTGTCAGATTAGGTACTGACCTGCAGATGTAGAAATCTAGTATCCTAGCTGTGTTTACATATATCAGTTAGGTAACCTGAAGTGGATGAACAGAAATGAAAGACTAGAAATTTCCACTCAACTTTTCTCTTTAGTTTCTGTGTTTCATGTTCAAAAAACCAACAGACTCAAGTGACAAGAAATTTAGATTAGATTTAGTTAATAACTTCACCATTATCCCTAGAGTATGTACATAATCCAACAAGACATACCTCATTATCAACAGCTGATACAAGCAGATACCGATCATCAGGTGAAAAGCAAACCATCACATTTCCACTTGAGCTTGATGCTGTATAGCAGGGCCACTCTGGTTTCTGTCTCAAATCCCACAGCTTGACATCATGGTCAAAGGAGGATGTAGCAAACAAGAAGGGTGAATGGTGTGCAAATTTTGCGACATTAATGGGTTCTCGATGCATATTAGTAAAGAGTTGTAGACGTTTTCCACTACTGATGTCATATAGAGCAACATCTTTTGAGTACCCACTAGCCAGAAACTGATCATCCCTGGAATTGACATGAACAGAAGTCAATTGCTCAAAGCCATCAAAAGTGGCCACACCAGCACTGCAATTTACATCATCGACTTTTGGCAGTAAATGATTGATGTCAAACAACTTCAAGCATCCATTATCAGAACCAGCAAGCAGCTGCCAACATAAAAAAAGATCATCATCATCAACTGCCACAGTTAATCAAAATGGTGCAGTAAATAGACCATCGTGGAATTTAACATCTCTACCCATGTAATATCAATATAAAGTCATAAAATACCAGATGACTAGTTTTAAATTCTTCTAGGCATAGCAGGTGACTAATTGCTTGACCACATACCAGAGAACAGAGAATGTAAGATGATTTCAAAATTTAAATAATAACAAAGAAATTATGATATTGCTACTGGACATGTCACCATGGAATTTCATTCTTGATATAGAAATATAACCAAAGTTTTGGTCAAGCATACATTTTTTTGCATAACTATTGCTCAGGTCATGTATTAAACGACACCAATACATCATAATAACATACAACTTTGAATGAAGAGCATGATATTGGCATTACATGCACATAATTTATTGGTAATGCATACCTTTGAAGGATGCTTCTTGAGCCAACAAAGACCCAAAACACTGTTCATGTTGCCGGTAGATGGAACATAACCAACTAGTTTCCCACTTTCGTGATTGATGACAACAACTTCACCATCAAGAGTTCCAAAAACCATCAGACTAGAATCAGATGGATGGTACTCAAACTGCCTTGCACGAAGCCTCTTACTTCCTTCTTTATATATATGGCTAAAGGTGCGCAAAGGATGCAAGAGAGGCCATGTAGCAGACCCAAGTTTGGCAGCACTAAGAGACCTTGTGAAGAAATATTGACTCTTTCCATAATGGTATGATTGCTTGGACTTAGAGAAATTTGGGCAGGAAGTGCCCGTTGTTCCCATCTCACGCTTCTGCAGAATAGTAACAACACTTTGTTTGTTCTGTAGTTTATATGGTAAGTACTCGTAGTATTTTGTAAAAGTAGTTCTTCCCTTTTCTCTGTCCATCTTTGTAATAGGGAAATTATCTAAAACCTCCAAATGCGGCAATGAAGCAACCATGTATTCCCTATAATGTTTCTCAAAGCATATGGGTGAAGGATGATATGAAACATAGTTCGTAAATGAGGCAGGGCAGTCATTCTTGAAGTCCCATGTATTTGCACTTGCAAGGATCTCATCTTTGTTTGTAATCTATAATCCGCAAAAAGAGACATGTTAGACAAACTAAAAGAATTCATCATAGCACTCAATAATTTAAAAGTTTCCCTACCATTTAATCTTCTTACCTTGTTTTTCAACTTTGATAGTCCATTCAAATTTGGTGAGACATCAGATGATATTTCCATTGAACCTATTCTCCGAAGGCAGCTTGACTTTTCAACTTCACTGATATGGGATATATTATCAGTTTTTACAGAGCCCTCCTTGATCAAAGCTGAATCTCTGCGAGAAAGTAAGTCCCCGCAATTCTCTTCAGCACGATAACCTTGAAATGTGGCATCTTTGATGCTTATAGATGATGTCTCACTGGATAGATGCATATTCAATGGAGTTGAACCAAGTTTATCGAATGCAATTCTTGCTTTTTCACCAAATGATGCAGAACATGGTCCAGTATCCTTGCAACATAAGCAATTTTGGAACCGTAGTTCTATTAAAGAAGGAAGTTTTGACAGGGCAGCAGTGGTTGTCCAGAGATTTGCTACTCTAGTCTCACACATTGAGAGACGCATCAGATTTGGCATGCAAGAAAAACAGTCTTTATCCAAACTAGCAATTGAAGTACAAAAATCCAAATTCAAGGTATGTAATTGCATAAACGTCCCAGCCATGTTGAGCTTTTGGATATGATTAGACCTCATGTTTAAAACATGACATGCTAAGCCATGGTGGCATAAATCCCTGGAAAGATCCCACATTATAGGATGTTAAAACATTAAAAAAAAAAAGATTATTGCAAAATACCTCATACAAAAGGATGATAAAATTTCATCCTCCTCAAGTAGAGTTGATTAGCCATTCATACGTCATTTCCAAGCATAAGATGATGGACAAGAGGCACTTCATTACAAAAAACTTCACTAAATTCAGTCATATGCAAATGCACCAAGAAACACAATACATAATGTTGGCCAGTGCTGATCCCTTGGGAAGGCATAGGGGCCAAGACCCTCCCTAACGTAAGAAAATTCCCTAGGATATTATAACTTTGCTCCCCATATTTATTTCATTCAAAAATATCCTTTTTAAAAAATTAAAATGTTAATTTTTCTCAATTGCCCCCTCATAAAAGTCGTTGTATTCCGCCACTGATGCTGGCCAAGCCTATTGTCAAAGCAGGGTCCTGATATGTGTATTTTGAACAAAGCTGGACCTTTAGCATTTTCACTTACAGGGACAACTGATAAGACTCTAACATGCACATTAGCGTGCTTGGCGACACAAGAGTTTACCATTAAATCAATTGATCACTGCACCAAGCGGCCTTTATCAGTTTATCTATTCTATTAATTTGGTACACAATATGGCAAATCCCCATGCAAATCTGCCAGCCCAAATTTTTAATCCTTTCCCCATTGCACAAGTTTTCTTATAAACTGGAAAGTTCCAAATGAAAACAAGACCGATTCTTTTTTTCCCTCTACTTTTAAGAATTCAAACTAAATTTCTCCTATTAAATTGGTTCATGGTGTACCCTCTTCTGCTATCATATTATTCCAACAGCCATTGTCTCATTGCCGTCATTATATTCTTTTCAAATTCTAACATAAACTGAAGAGTGGAATTTTCCAATTTCAGTGATATTATCTCAAAATTTTCTTATCTCAAAATTTTCTAAGTTATGAGAACTTCTTGCCTTGTTGGCAACGCCCCCACCCCACCCCACCCACGACACAACAATTCAAGAAGGGGAAAATTCTAAAACATTTAAAGGAAGCTTAATGAAAGATGCAGTGAAATTATTGAAATGAAATTCAAAAGTAAGGCACAGGAAGGTGATAGTACTAACTGCAAAAAGTCCTCTACAGGGGACGTGCCTTGGAGATCAACTACTCGGAGTTTCAGATTGATTGTCTGCAACAAAGGCATGACATATTCTTCATTCAAATTGCAAGGTGATTCATGAAGTACATCAACCGCATCAACATCAGAAGAGTCAATTTCCAGGAACACATCAATCAGCGGATAAACATCAACATTGCTTAGCTGATTCAGTAAGAACATAATGCTGCACTTCCCCTGTTGGGACTTCTGAATTTTGGCCTACGTTGTGAAAAGGAAAATTGTAATTCAAGTAAACGGTGCCTTCAATGTAAAATGCATAAGTTTACAAAAACTATTAAAGCATGTATATACAGGCTTGAGAAGTAAAAAATTTAAGAAGTGTAAAATTCTAGTATCTTTCAGTAGGATGCAAATGCTATTCTTCAAAATATAAAAGAAAGGATGGGGAATTTAGGAGAACACTGATCCATTGAGTAATCGATAACTTCACTAGAATAACAAGGTAGATCACAGTGTGAGCCATAAGGTGCTTCATTCAAGATGATTGGTCAAAGATACTCATCAATAGAAGCACAACAAATTAATTGTAAACTAACAATCAGCAAAAGGTCTGTACACGGATGCCACAGAAGTGGTCTAAAAGAAGTATATAATAGGGTGCATTCTTACACAGAGCCATCCTTTTCGACAAGTACTAAGTTAATCAAATGGCTGTAGTTTTATTAGTTCATCCAAAGAGGCATTATAGCAGACTCCATGGGTAATATTTAAAGATTGGTGTGTTGTTAGTTTTATTGCTAATAATAATTTTTTTTTTTTTAAAAAAAAAAACATGATTCAAGCATTTCGAAAAGTGGCATTAGGTTCAGTTACATACCAAGGCCTTAATAGGTTAATATACCCCCTGTCTTGGACCACCGTATTCTACATTAATTATCAACCCTGAATGTTCAGATGAACTTAGACTTGCAAATAGAGTAGTTTTCATCAACTACTTCCTTTAAGAGCAAGTTCTTATTACCATCAAAATAATTCTGTAAAACTAATGGCTGATATTCTCTTGATTGAACATCTTCAATTTATGCCTGCAAATCCTTTCTAAAGCATACAAACTAAGCAGGATGGTTTTAATTTTTAAGGACAAAGTTAAATTATTTTAACAACAGTTTGTTTTCAACAAACAAAACCACATTGGCTTTGGAACACAATATGTTCAGCAAGTGCTTGCAGAGCATTGTAGTTATATTATACTGGAACTACATTAGTGAGCTTATCAATACAGACTTTAGCAAAAAATCTGGCTGGTATTGCTATATAGCAACAGCATTGTTGCAGCTCTAGGGCAACATTTCTGCACCATTTTCACCCGGGGCTCACTATCTAGTTAGTACACATATCTACTCTTTTCCAATTTCACTGGGCTGTTATATTTTTTGAGAATGCACTTCGTAGATGATGCAAACATTGAAAATCAAAATGATCCAGCTGCTGAAAACTTTTCAAAGCCATCTACAATTTGCTTATTTTTTAGTATCTTTTGTTGATAAACTAGTAAGTAATAGATTTTATCAGCGAAGATAAAATCTCAGATGAAAACTATTAAGATATAACAATATTCATAGGACCAACGATAGAAAATGAGTGCAAGTTTGTTAAAAGACCTTATAAAACCATGACAATACTGCAGAGTTGGGTAGCACTTCATGCTTCCTGCAAGAATCAAGATATCTGGAACCAAAAAGAGAAGAAGAAAAACAATAAGGGTCAAGGAAAAAAAAAGAAGAGAGAACATAAAAAATTGGAGATAAAAACCTTTTTCAACACTAACATAAACAAAAGAGTCACGCATCAAGGCATTAAATCTTCTGGACCAATAACTGATGAAATGTTACATGGCGACACAAAGGAGTTTCATAGCTGTAGAAATGAAATTTCAACTATTTGAAGCTTATAATTACTCGTGAATTAAGTTTCAACTTAATAGACTAGATTTATTGTATTTTAATATTAGAAGAAAAAATGTACATTACATTTTCATGTGAGTCCAAATCCATTGTGCTTTGGTCTTGAAATTACTTTTCTCTTGTAATAACAACCCAACTTTTAGCGTGATTTTACACTAGATGCAAAGTACATTAGATGTTGTACCAAATATAATATGCTTTCTGAATTGATTTGAATACAAGTTTTGTAGTTTTAGCCTTAATTTTTTCTTGAAATACTTATGATTATCAAGGAAAGCCCGTGTGAGTTTTGTGTCGGTGGATGTAAGCTAACGCTCAAACCAACTACTCATTGTTCTTCAACTCTCACATTAGAGCTCCACCATTCTTCTACTAAAATTTCCAGAGTTTGATATCAGGGAAGCTGTAAAGTTAACACCAACATCAAAGGCAGCACTGGAAGATCAAATTTTGGTTGATCCCCCTAACAAAATTTCCATAGAGGACTTAATTGGACACAGGACGGAGAAAAGTTACAAAATAAAGAAAGGGTAAGAAGCTTTATGCTAGTAGTTTAATATGCAAAGATATTAAACTTTGAATCAGAAAAAAATAAATGATCTTTTTTTCTTTTCTTTTTTTCTTGTTGGTTTCCACAAAAGAATTTTCTTTTGTTAAATTTCAAATTTTTCTTCACATAAATTAGTTCTAAAACTACCAACTCTCAACTCTTTGGCCAAGAATTTGCTTGTATATCTTCTTTGCTTGTTTTCAACAATTCCTCATAGTTAACCATATATATGACACGAAAACTTGACCCCAAAGCCACACAATCTTTAACAATTTAGTTCCATTAGTTTGAAGCAAAAACAAGAGAAACAGAAGTCATGCAAGTAAATAGACAGAGACATGCACAGAGAAATCAAAAGATAACTAAAGAAAGAGAGTTAGTTAGTAAGAGAAAGATACCGAGATTGTAAGCTGGAGATATCCATTGATGGAAATGCTTGGCTTTGCTTCACATCTGCTGCGTATAAAGTACATACACAGCAGAATTACAAAACTGAAGTTGCAAAATTAAGGAAATTAAGATTTGTGTGCCACGGCCAAAGGAAGGACAGGTGGTTTTGGTGGGTTTTATAAGCGAAGTGGCTTCTCTATATGGATAAGCAGAAGAGTAGTGCTGTCCTCATATCATATGGGTTAAAGCATCTGTCAGCAGGTCTCCATTACTGTGTATGGGCTCATGCCAGACAGTGATGTCTGAACCATCCATTAAGTAATCTGATGTGTTTCTGCATAAATATCACGTTTAATAAAACACTCCTCTGCTACCAAATACCCAATGCCTTGTTTTTTCTAATTTATAGCAATTTTTTTTTTTTTTTTTTTATTGTTGATATTACTGTAATAATTATACAATCATTGGAGATGGAAAATTTTATTTATTTTTTCAGGTAGGACACGTCAAGTTATTGACTCCACGCACGCACATATATTATATTGAGTGCCCATTTAATTTGTTAATCCGTCACTTTATTTTTTCAAAAATGTATCAAACTTACTTGGAAATATGTCTTTGATAGAGAGGTTTAATTTCAATAGACGCTCACTATCTCGAAAATATCTTATACTATCAAATAAAAAGAAGAAATATATATATATATATATATATATAAAGAGAGAGATTTAATTTCAATACATACGCAAGCTATTTAAAAAATATCTCAAAAAAAAAAAAAAAACTATGGTAAAAAAAAATTGCAAGGACTAATTAATATCTGACCACTTTATTAAAATTTTGATAAAACACCCAGTTTTCCACGTTTCCTACCTAACCCCTGCAGGAGAATTTAATCATATGTTATGGACATCTCTAATTTTATCTAGTATATATGATATATTTATAGAAATATTATCAGATGAGTTTTTACATCAATAGACATTAAATCATTCATTTTTTAAATTAAGTCAATTTCAGAATATGTTAAATTTTTGTTGATCATGACTTTTTTTTAAACCAAATCAGATCAAATTTAATACTATTAAAATAATTATAACTAATTATTTATAATAATAAAAATTAAATTTTATTTTAATTAAATTAAGATAATCTTTTTATAATCAGACGGCGTTCCTCTCTGGTTCCTATCACCTATGAAATTTGAAAAAGAAATTTAATTGAGTAAGACATTTTTTAAAAGAATAATAGCGAGACGGGGGATGTTAGTTGTTAGTTTCGTGGGGGCAATCCAGGTTACAGAATGATTGCTTGAAAGAAATTGTTGATGACCTGATGATAGATGTTTTGACTACGGAATTGATGAATTAACTATCCAATCTCACGAGTCGACACCCAAAGCCTTAAAATATTCTAATACTTTGAATGGATTAAGCTTGTAATATAAAGGATAACATTAGTAAAAGGGTATTTGTTTCGATGGTAAGACAAATATTGTTCCAAGTTACGAGTTTAAGTCTTGCTTTTAATTCATTAATGAGAGAGCATAGCTATATCTTATCAGTCTTTATTTTCATTAGGAATAATAATTGTACAGATCTTTCTATTATTTATTTATTTTATTGCATATCTACCGTGTTACTCTTTTCAATTTAACTTTATCTTTTTACATCTGGTTCCTAGTATTTTTCAATTAATTTTTTTAAGGCAAAATTGTTAAATTCTACTGTTAGTGCTACAGAGTTGCAATATGTGTCAATTTTTTTTTTTTTTTTACATATAATTTTGCCTCTCTGTTTTTTTTTTTTTTTTTAAACCAAATTTAAATAAAAAATTCAAAAAAAATTCAAAAAAAACAAAAAAAAGAAGAAGCAAACATAAAAATTTTTATTCAAATATCTTTGATGGGTTTACACTTATCTCTATAATATTAAGCAAATTTTAAATATAAAATAAGTATTTATAATTTTTTGTAAAATGTCAAAAGAGTTTTAGTTAAATTTTTAAACTTTTAAAATTTTATTTATAATTTCATAATACCTCAACACGATCTATTATAATTACATATTTTTATTTTAAAAATTTGTTAATTTGACTCAAAAGTGAGAATATAAATTAGTTAAGATTTTTTTTTTTGAAAATATTCACTCATAAGTGGTTAAAAGACGAGATATATCGTTACTTTTTTTTCCTAAAATTTATTTATTTAAATTTAATTAAAAAAAAGAAGAGAGATAAGATTAAAATTAAAAAAAGTTTAACAAGTGTCACAATCATGTGGCGCTAATGGTGCTATTTAACATTATAAGCCTAAAAAAAAATAATGAAAAATGCAGCTAAGGCAAAAACTAAATATAAAAGAAAACCAAAAAATAATAGAAAAAACACTATAAAAATAAAAGAATAAAAACACCTTACAACTAGTAACATCATACTATAATTTTAATATAGCTAAAAGTTATAGCCGTCTTGTAGCTCCCGACGTGCTATGGGAGTCCAGATATTTCGAAAAAACAAAAAATTATTAGCAATGATAACTTTAGTTACATAAGACTTAAAAAAAAAAAAAAAATACAATGTACAAGTTTCTTTCACTCTTGAAGCCTGAAGGTGTAGCAAGAAAATTAAAAACAAAAGGTTTGGAGTAATTAATCTTATAATCCTAACACTTATATGAAAAAACAATGAAAATAATTCAATCAATATGAAATACAAGGATAAAAACTATTAATAATCTTAATGTTTAAAAGAAATATATATATATATATATATATATTCAGCCCGTTGCTAATATTTTGATTTTTCAAAGTTGGCATTTGGTAGCTCACCATCTATTATGCTTTCTTCGCATCATTATTAATAAAGAAAACAAAATGCTTATTAAAATGAATTCATAGAATAGTTATTGTAAATGCTACTAATTACTCTTTGTGTATTATAAAATTTTTCAAAAAATGACCAAATCCAATTGAACGAGTTCGACACTTTTCTTTTTTTGGTGGCGTCTATCTTTAAATTTAAATAACTAAAAAGACAATGTTCTTTTATTTGATCGTGCTCAAACAAAAACACGTTGATTTTTTTTTTTACTATTCAAATGAACAGTTGAATCATGTTCTTTTGTGCCATCATATTGGTTGAAAAGGGCCAAAGGAATACATCTAACCTCACCGTCCTAATAAAGTCGGAATGTTCAATAGTTACATTGGTGTAATCTAAACACCTAAACAAAATCCCTAAAAAAAAAAAAAAACAAAATATTATAAGATTAATTTGATGAAAAAAATTATCTTTAAATTATTGAGCTATGATAATTTACGGTTTATACTCTTAATTTGAACTATTTGAATCCCAAAGTATTATTTTTTGAAAAAGTATTACTTTCTTCAGTTATTTCTAATAGTCAAAATGTTGATCATTAACCGAAAATATAGTTTAATAGTAAAATTTACTTCCAAACTATCAAGTTTATGACAAAATAAGATCCATGCTATCAATTTGGGCTATTTGAAACCCAATCTATTAATTTTTTTGATAAATTTTATCTTTCTCCATTATTTCTAAAAGTCAAAGTGATAACCATTAATTGAAAGACATAAAAGAACGTTGTTTTAAGCATTTTTAGATTTTTTTAAAATTAAAATTGATTTCAAAAAACTAATAATTCGTTTTAAACATTTTATATTTTCCTTAAAATAAAAATTATTTTTTTCAAAAAATAGTAATTTACTTTTTAAATAGATGGATCCATTGCATGTCGTTAATTATCCAACAACAAAAGAAGATTCATATATAATGATAATAATAATCATCATCTAAGCTATCTTAAAGCTAATTATTATTAAATATTTTTTAAAAAATTAATTTTAAGATCCAAATAGCCGAAATTGATAGTCTAAGCCTTATTTTGCCTCAACTCCAATAGTTTGAGGATTAAACTATATTTAGTTAATGGTCAATATTTTTACCATCAAAGATAATAAAGAAATGATCACATTTGCTTAAGAAATAAGAGTTTAGATTCTAAACAACCCAAATTGATAGTAGAGACGCTAAATTGCCATAACTCAATAGCGGAGGTAATTTTTAAGCTTAGAAAAAATATCATGGAGAAGTCACCAAGAAAAGATAGAAACTATGATAGAATCCACTATTTGAAACCACATAAATGAAGATAGATTCAAATCATATATGGCCGGATTAAAAAGGCAAATAGGGGTAAAAATAGAATGATACCTTTACTTTTTTAGTTAGTGCATCAAATGAAATACAAACTATGAGTAAATGTTAAAGACTTTTAATCACAATCTCATGAAACGCTTGCTACTTTGTTTAACTACCTAGTGAAAAAACTATCTTAAAAAACAAACAATTAAAGCATTGTGAATGGACACTATGTTTTGCCCAAATTTGGATTGGATCGACAACCCATCAAATTTGAAGGAAAAATGACTAGGTGTGTGTGTTTAATTGAGACTCAATGTTCAATTCAACTCAAACCATTGACCAAAAGCCCAACATCTAGTTGAAAAAGTCCGAAAAGAAAATAACAAATATAAATAGATCATGCAGGCATGGATTCTTAACAAGATTGAGTTATTGTTTAACACACTCGAGTAGTAACAATATTGATAACCCGAAAACCAATCAACAACATAATCAACAAAGATTCAATGAGAATTTAACATTAGGAAAACATGATTAGGAAAACAACCGAAAGACATGGGATATTGCAAGCACATAATGAAAAGTTGCAAGAAAATATGAAGCATTGCAAAGATACATGGAAAAGCACGGAACAACGTGGTCTATTAAGAAGTGTTAGTACTCAACATGTGAGACTTTCAACTATCAAGAAATATAATTAAATATTTTAGGTCACCACTTACTATTCAAGGGAGCTAGAACACCTAAAATTATACTTGACTCGTAGACTACGAATAAAGAGTTAGTTATGCCTATTAAAAGATAACAATCACCTAAATGCATCCTTTTTAGGAAAAAGGCTACTTAATTCATTCTATTCCTAAAAAT